ACAAAGTAGTTTTTTAAACCTCTTAAGATGGTAGTCTACAATTTCATAATACGATAGAATGTCAAGTTCATAATAATTAAGTTATGTCTAAAACTTGACAAAACGTGTCATATTTGTCACTTAAAATAGTCTATTACTATAACTTTTTGAGGAATCATTTCTACAATAACGAAATTTATACTAAATAAAGTCTCTTGCCCTTACCTATACATTTGAAGGTGTCACTCTTTAATACTCAGTCTCTCCATATTGATGGAATCCTTCATTGAATTATGAAATCCAAGCAAATATATTTGGGGTTTGCAAGTTGGGAGGCCAGGAGGGAATTGGACCAAGTGGAAAGAAGTTAAGTAATTAAGCCGTGGCTGAGACAGAAATAAATACAACCAAACAAATTACACAACTGGACGTGAAGTCTGAAAGAGAAAGAGAGAGAGAGAGGGAAAGGTCATGATCCTTGTAGCCCAAACCACAGACAACAACAATGAGAGGAGTTTGGTCCAAAGCCCATGGTGGTAATGGCTGGCTAGGTCTTCTATAGGAGGGACCGTTTCGAGGACAACAACATAAATGTCACGAAAAACATATAGTTTGTGCAAAATTTGTCATATTGAATAGTTTAGAACATAAATGACACTTTTTGGATAGTTGGGCTTTCTAATGAAATTAACCTTAAATTAAGGAATGATTCAAATCATAAACTCGTTCCAAAACCTGATCGATAAATAGGCAATGATATCGTAAGTATCATTTCTAGTTCAATCGCGACATCTTGATCAGAGAGATTGTAAAAATAGGAGTAATACAATTTTGAAAAAAAAAGTAAATCTTGCGACCAAAAGTGATGCCCGCCCTCAAATCATGTTAAAAAAGCTCTAAATATTTTCCGTCCGACCACATCAAGAGTCAAGACATACTTCTAAATTCATGATCGGATTGAAGTCACTAAGACTTTTTGTATACCGAATCCTTGATTTTTCATTATTGAATAGGTATATTCGAAACCACATTGGTATTTAGTAATAATTGACTAAATTGAACAATTCAGTTGAACATGTCGATCACTTCGACTACAAAGTTGAAATGGTTCCTTCCATTTCATTTCTACTATCTTACTTTGTTGTTTCTTTTTTTTTTTTGGTTGAAAAAAATTAAAGGAGAAGAAGTAAGAAACAAGAGGATGGGTTCCCTGAAGATCCCAACCCAAACCCATATGAGGTATCACATGGAAATTCTGAAAGCCAAAACAGAAAAAAAGAAGGCTTCTTTCATCTTTTTAGTTCTGAGGGATCCATCTTGTCGAAAGAAAGAGAGCTGCCCACCCTGACCCCTATCGTTTTCTTGTGTTGTGTCTTCTTTTTATCATCTCTCTTTTGCCCTTTTCTCGTTGGCCCTTTCCAAGGGATGTTTGCCCTTCAGAAGAAGGATCTTGGGGTTTTCTTCAATCCCTCTTATGGGTCATTCATGAGATTAGAGAAGAAGGGGTGGGTTTTGGATTAGGGCTTTTGTTGATTTCCTCTTTCTGGTGGTGATGGCTTTTCTTCTATTTTGATTTTTGCATTTGGTGGGCTTTAGTTTGGGAGGTGATGGAAAACCAAACCTCATGCAATGGATTTGGCCACTTGGGTTGTTTTTCTTGTTGGTGAGTTTTTGGTTTTTGTTGGTCCTATCCCATTTCTGTCAACTGTCCACTTCTCTACTCTTGCCATTAATTGGGTCACAAAATCTTCGATCCCTTGGCCTACCAAGTGAGCCTGAATGGCCCAATTATGGTGTTATTGAGATTGGCTATTCCCTATTGTACTTGCAGTATAATGGGTACTAGGTGGAGATCCCGCGCCTTGTTGCGGAGCGGATATGGTCTATACTTTATAGGCATGTATTATGCATGTGGTCCGTTATGGTGTTTAGTTAGTATTAATAGTCTAAAATTAATTTTTTGTAACCAGTTTTGTTATTAATATTGACTTGACAATAGGGGTGGGCATTAGGTTCGGTTTTACCGAACCGAACCGAACCGAACAAAAACCGACCGAAACCAAGATACATAAAATTAGGTTAGAAATTCGGAAATGAATGTAGTATATTTCGGAAACCAGACGTGTTTGAACCGAACCGAATTACCGAAATAACCGACGGAATTCCGAAATAATAACCAGCCCAACCCACTAGCCACTAGCCCACTACCCAGGCCCACTAGCCCAGCACCTCCCCAGCCCAATACTCGGCCCATCCCACAATTGAATTGGGCCTCTGGCCTCACGTCCTCAGCCTGCCGAGTGCCGGCCTGCCCTCTAACCCTAGGTTAGGAGATTGAGTGATTGACTCCTCGTATCCACTCTCCTCCTCACAGTCGCAAACCGAACCGATCGAACGCCCACCCCTACTTGACAATAAGATATTGACTAAGAAGATATATATGGCTGTCAACATCCAATTTATTTTTTTTATTTGAAATTTTTGACTTAAATATTATATTTACCTAAACCCAATTAGACCCACTGATTATGGGTAGGGTATGGGTGACGTATATAAGGGTTTGGAAGTTTGTAGATGGGTTTGGGTAGGGTATGTATATTTGCTTCCATAATCTAATTAAATGTGTATTAGTTGGGCATGAATATCCATTTATTCGAGTGTGTTTTAATTATACATACAAAAATTAGACCTATTTGTAGAACTTCAAAATTTTAGGTACCAAAATGTAATATACAAAAAATTTAGGTACTAAATGTGATGTTCCATCAATTGAGAACTTATATGCCAAAAAAAATTTAGGTTATAAATCTAAAGATCTATTAAGTTTAGGTACCGAACTGTAATTTGCATAGTTGAGGCTTAATTCCTTTTATGGTGATGTATTTAACATGATAATTATTTACTTTTTTATAGAAAAATAAAAAATATTTATTTGATATGTGTAGATACCTAACCAAACTTTCCATGTATAATTTTGAAAATTCTATCCCGGGTGAAAAAGAAAAACTCTAGAGAGAAGCAAAAAGAATACAAACAGGAACTCGCTTAAAATTTCACGCATTCAAATCTCACAGTGGAAACATTTTCCACTAAGTAATAACCATATATATTTATTTTTAATTGGACTCGACATTGAGGTGAAAAAGTTAGTGGTTCATGGTTCAATTATTAATTCTCTAGACTGTTGATGAGTCGGTTATGGACTCGTTTTTACTTGTAATTAGAATACATAAAAATAGTATAATAATTAAGGTTATTTTTAATGTTTCACGTAATGAGCAAATATAAAATGACCGAATCTTCTCCTACAGTTGAGTGATACAACATCTTGTATAATACAAACTAAATTTATACTTTTATGTTATGGTGGATTGGAATCATGGATTGGTTCAAAAGAATTGGTGGATTAGATTCATGGATTCAAGTGAAATCTAACATTGGACCAATATGTAAATTTTAGAAATTGTAGGTACGAAAATCTCATAGAATTTATATACCAAAACAAAATTGTTCAAAGATTTTACATTAAAGTTAAATTTCCGGGTATCAAAATATAAAATATTACATAGTGACTAATTTGTAATTTTTTATGCAACAGTAATTGCAGTTCACCTTAATATATAACTAGTTTTGTATCCGGTCGTTGGGCAGTTTGTGGTCATTTGCTTATTTTTTAGTTAAACGTAGATGGTTCGATTTTTAGTATTGTGCAATGGTGGCCCGAAAAAATACCTTGACAATTTATGATTTTGAGTGCTCATTAACTTTATATTGTTCACTGAATTGGTGTTTCAATTTATATTTAACCATAAGAAGTTTAAGTTAGACAACAAATGAAATGAAAAACTATCTAGAATCTATATTAATGTCTTGAGATATTAAATATCACTGAATCAAAGCAACAAATTTTAACAAAAGATCTTTATTTTTGTTATATGTTAAATAAGTAGCATGCAAATCAAGCTTTGAAAATTTATTAATATATCACTATTTCTCTATTTTGATTTAGATGTTGTAGATTTTCATCTATTGAACTACAAATGAATTATTTTACAAAATATAACTATAGATGTTTTGGATGTAAATAAATTTTCTATTAGCTATATCCTATGTTTTCAAAAGCGGAGCAGTTGTCAGACAAAAAATGTCAATGACTCACAATTAATGGTTTGTCCTTATACAACTATTTTGGAATTGTTAATGAAACTATTCCTTCACTGTGAAATTAAGATTCTAAAGCTTTTGAGAGCTAATACTTGATTTAACTCCTTTACGTAAAAGCCTAATGCGAAAAAACATATCCAGAAGGAACCTCTTCCCACCACGCCACAACAATGTATAATCTTCGCCGCCTCGAAATTCAATTCGCAATCATTATCTCATTCAAGAGCTAAACAACTTTAGTTAACCTAATTTTTATCGTGAACCACACAAAATAAATCTACAAAAATCAAAGTCCAAATAATTATAAATTGATTGTATTTTGCCAAGATTTTCCATTTTCTTCCTCTTCATGTTTGCCGAAATCACTGTGAAATTAAGATTCTACAGCTTTTGAGAGCTAATACTTGGTTTAACTGTTTAACGTAAAAACCTATTGCGAAAAAACCTATCCAGAAGGAACCTCTTCCCACCACGCCACAACAATGTATAAATTTCGTCGCCTCGAAATTCAATTCGCAATCATTATCTCATTCAAGAGCTAAATAACTTCAGTTAACCTAAGTTTTATCGTGAACCACATAAAATAAATCTACAAAAAGCAAAGTCCAAATAATTATTATAATACCTTAAAACAAATATGTTTTCCCCTTAATCCTAATCGCATTTACAAAAAAAGAATACCAAAGGTCCAATAATTATGAGTGATCTTCGGGCGATTGAAGAATTGAAAAAATGGACAAAATTGCCCTTCCACCAAATAAGGAGAACCAATCAAAGTGCAAGGTGGCAACAATGACATAAAATGAAGTGCATAATATATTGTGTAGAAGATAATATTTCAGATTTTTTTACGGAAACCTGTAATAGAGCTCTTATTAATTAGTGGAAACCATTACATTAAAAATCGTGTCTCAGGCGATCGACTAACATAATCGGTGATCTATCCATCCAAACGTAAGCCATGTTCCATCTTGTTTCACAATGAGGCACAATATGAGCATAATGTGCATATCACACACGTTGCTAACAACTACTGTAAGTGTTGAAAACAATATTTTTCACAATAATTATTTGGAATATACCCTTTTGAATTGATGAGCGATGACCTATAGAAACAAACCCTTTCGAGAAAAAAAAAAAACTTTTTTCGCAATGATCTATAGGAATAAATCCTCTAACCAATGCGATACATCATCAAGAAACTAAGTTCAATCTTCGATCCAAGTTCTTCTTGTTGCCAATAAAAAAGACGTGATAATGATTCACAAATAAATCAACTAGGTAATGAAGCTATTACACATAACCAACCAACCAACTACTAGCTAGCACAAACGTCGTAATCAGCAAAAGACATGACACAAGTGTTGTATATCTCGACAACACGGCCGCCGGTGAAGTACTTGCAGTTGCCGTCCAAGAAGTTCTTCGCCGCGATGAGACATTTGTTACAGTAATCGGACGACGGATCGACGTTGCAATCGACTCGAGCCCACATGGTAGCCTTCTCCCTCGTCTCCCTGATGCACGTCAAGTGCTTGAACCGATACCGCGGCTGCCAGTGGAGCTTGACCAGGTCCGAGAGCAGCTCGGCCCGCGCCTTCCCTAGCCCGCTCCATTCTTGAATCGGGAGGTCGCTGCAGTGGTGATCTGGGAATGAGAACTCCCAAGCCATCACAGTGGCGACGGATTTATCGTCCCCGCTAATAATGTACGTGCCGATTATGAAGATAGCGGCCGAGAATCGAAGCAAATTTCTCATTTCGAACGTATGGCGAGTCGTCGGTGTCGACGTAGAAACTAAATTGAATCTGAGATTTGTTTTGTTCGATTTTATAGCGAATTTAATGTATGTTGTGGATGAATTCAACCAAAATATCTATCTAGTAAGTTTGTTATCATATCCTCCCATCGTATCATCCACGATATGCGCCTATATGCCAATAATAGTATAAAACGAAAGTATAATCAAAATTTTGTTAATAGAACTAATCTTACAACAATTGTGGATTCTGTTTTTGCTACTGGCTTGGCTCTGTGGATTTTCGTGGTTGAATTAATGAGTTTTTTTGGGTACAACATGGGTCACTTAACGTCTCAAATGGCATCCAAATCTTTATGACTTAACGAATTTAGTAATTTCAACTCCATTCTTAGCAAAGTACAACTAATGATTTAGAAAATAACATGTGAATGAAAAACGTGTTCAGCTAAGTGTATCAAATGACCTAATGCGAAGCTAAGTAATCATCCATAAAATTGGTCTAATCTCTGCCACTATTCAAATGCATTCATTATATGTATTACCTAGTATACGAATCATTATTCATGGTTTATTAGTGCAAAAACTAAAATGCATATGAATCATATAGTTGCATATGAATTTTGAAATGTTTAATATTGTTAATTAATTATTTGGCCGCTGGCTGCTAGCTTGCTGGACCTAAATGAGTTTACTTATCCCCAAATTCATATTGTAATATATTACTTTACAAAATTTATAGGCTCATTTGCTTCGCGATGAGGGGAAGGTAGTATCATAAATGTGTTGTTTGTATAAAAAAAATTTAACATAATATAATCTATACGACATTTTAAAAGCAGAAGAAAAACCCAAAAAATGTTGTGGGGAAGTCTTATGTAGCAATTTACATTAGTTAGCCAATGAGGAGTACAATCTAAAAATTATTTTCAAAATTTTGTTTAATTTGGAAGTCAACAACTATTCATTAGAGAATTTATGAAGATTCTGGATATGAAATGGAAAGGAACGAAGAGATAACTGATTATGCGTATGTTACCATCTAACAAACAAAAAATAACGTAATTTACACTAGACTAACAACCGAGTGGAAAATAGAAGAGAAATAGAGAGTCGAAAAAATCAACGATAGTAGAGGGAAAAGACGGGTAAACATAGCATCGGTTTTTGTTGGTTACAAGGCCACCTTCGTCCTCTTCGATAGGACGTGAGATTTCTACGCTATCTTCCATTCGAGATCGAGAGAGAGAAAGGGACGAGTAACGATGCAAAACCGATTACAAATTACGAGGTTGATTTTAGCACAACAAACAAACATCTTTTGCCCCCCTTTGGATGAATATTTCCTGAATTGCTCGACTGAAAGAAGAGGAATGGAATGTATGAGCCCGAAGGGTGAAGAGCGTAGGAACAAAGTAGTAAGCCATAAGGTTTATCAGCTCGCTAGAATCCATTCGAGGCGGAGCGCGGTGAGTAAGGACGCAAAACCAATTACAAACTAACAGTTCGGTTTTAGCACAACATACAAACATATTTGGCATCTTAGGACGAATACCACTTCTGCCCAAATGGGTAATCCTTCTGCTTATTTGTCCACGTAACAATGGGATCAGAAGCTCTATGGTCGATCAATCTCCTCTTACGCACCCTATCTCAAAGATTCTGCATAACGGTGCAGTCTTTTGTCCTGCAATCGCGGGAGACTTGTTTAGCTAAGGCGCGCGTGCTCCATTGCAGGTTACTCTGCTTTCATTGAACTCATCAACATAAACAGTGATTATTTTCGAGACGTACTACAAACGAGATAATGTTTTTCCGAGACACTGCACGAAAATCACTTTGGTGATGATCATAGTTTATGATTTCCTGAAAAACACATTATATACAGTACAAATAAACCCTGCAATGCCAAAATTTGCTACTAAATACAAATACTAGGCTATTGACAGCGACAAAATTGGATGACCTCTCCAAAAAATTGCTCATGTTAATAAAGGAGCACAACAAGTTAGAAACTTGGAATCATTTTTCACTTTTTACCACCTGAAGTCATTCAGAAGTTGCATCTTGACCCACTCATCTTTCATGCACTTCGAGAAACACAAACATCTCTCCTATGATCTTCTCTTTTTACTGGACTTGGATCCCTTGTTACCATCTTCTTTACCTCTCTTCTTCGTGGACTTGTCTTTGTCCCCTTTCCCATGTTTCATCATATCCTGCACACTCAGGTTTACGCGACACATTCAGACATGGCTACACATTGTGAAAAATGGGTTGATTTGGTTAAAAAGATAAACACGCACACACACCTTGACTTGCTTTGCTGCTTCATTGAGTTCATCATCCACCGTAATGGTTAGCGGTTCCAGTACTCTCTGAAAAAGGTGAAATCATAATAACCTTGTTAAAAGAAGCTCGGCCCCATGCACTAGAGATGATCATAGATACTTATTGGATGTAATGTTCTTTCTACTCTATTAATGGTGTTGTGTCGCAGTCTTACCTCTTTTAATCGGGGAAGAGTTGATTGGATTTCATCGGATGCAACACCCTGGAGGTAATGATGGATCCTCTTCATGGCCTTCATGAATCGTGACAAAATTGCAGTTCTTTCCGACTTCAGTTGTTCCTGCAAATCACAAAAGAGCTTGTTATCATATAGCTTCAAAAAAATATTCGAGATGCACAGATAAAGTGCTTCAAAGCTAAATGACAGTTGTTAGTCATCCCTGAGTTTAGTTACCAATTATGTACCAGACCGATTTCACAAGTCAGCAAACTAAAAATAGAATCTACTGCAGTTGAATAACTTACCTCAACGCGAGTAAAATTCTGCTGCTGCAAGCCAATGCAAAGTAAAACATCCGCCTCGTCGGAAGACAATGTGACTGGAAGCTTTCCTCTGAAGTACAGGCGAGCAAGCACAGGAACAATGTCTAAAATCTAGAACAAAATGAGAAAATGCAGTTATTTTCATGATCATGTAAAGACATAGTTTTCATCAACTATTCGGAGTAGTTGCATGGGGAAAATTCAGAAAAAAATCAAAATCTTACCAAATGAAAATCAACCAGACTATCAGTGTAAGCCCTTAGACGTTCCATGTCATAAGGAGATAGATCTTCAGTGAGTGACTTCCAGAATTCTTCTGGGAGAGATTTTTTCTGATTCGCCTCCAAATCCGTAAAGTTGGTTTTAGGATCAAGGACCCTGTACGATGAAGAATATGATATAAAGAGGATTCGAACATGAAAACTGAATTGCCATCACCATTACTGATGTTAAAATCTATAACAATCTAACACGCTTTCAGGAAAAAAAGAAATTCAGAAGTTACAAGTTTACTTGTAAATCTTATTCAGAAGTTACATTAATAATCATCTTTTGAATTTATATTTTTTCACAGTCTATAGAAGAAATATCTTGCCTGGTAAAATATTACTATTCACTATATTTCCGCACAGAAAACAATTTGTATTCCACTTGTCTTTCAAAATTCAAGTGTGAAGACTAGTTATGGTTATTTTGTTCATGTACACCTATTCGATATTCATGGTTATTTTTATAGGACACTAAAATCACAATTTTTAAGACCGTGATCATTTCATTACTGACCTCATAGCAAGACGGCATTCCATTGATCGAAAGCTGGAACTCAACAGTCTAAGAAACCTTAGTCTGAAATCTGACAATTATACCATATCAAGCATGAGCCATAAATGGTACTAATGATAATAAAAGCGGGTAAGGTAAATTACAAAACAGAAGCTAACCTTGGTAGAAAGGACCAAAAAAGCCCCAGTCATCCGACTTATCAACTTCAACAGCACCATTTTTTAGTGGTTTGAGGATCATGCATGTGTGTTCACCAGTAACAACACTCTGTCAAAAGAAAACTCAGATATTTTAGGTTACACAATTTTTGAAGGAAGAATTCCAAACTGACAAATATGAGAGAATCACAACTCAACTGGAATTTGACCAATGTAGAATGGAGCAAATTTATGTTTCCTCCAAAAGTTAAGAAGGTCCAAAGTAAGCCCGAAGGAGACACCAAGGTAGTCGAGCTTCTCAGGCTGTCGTTCACCAAGACGTACTAACAGAGGTGGAAGGTTTGTTCTTGGTTTTATATTTTCTTCAAGTAGTGAAGCCTGCATAAATAAGTATCAGAACAGCTAAGCTCTTGCTGAGCACATAAAGAACGAAATTCTAATAATGACGTAACCAACCTTCTCTGCAGCTTCTGTAACTCTAACTTTAGGAGTCTCCTCCGAATCATCATCAGCATCTAATTCAGAAATACCAGTCAGCTCACCCTCGTAATACCTGCAGAAATTTTTCAGCATATTCGAAACCTCGTGCTTGAAGAGGCAAAATATTTATCTCAACAGTACCTCAAGAGTAAATCGTGACAGCAGAGCGAGCAAGAGTGTTAGATCGAATTTAATTCCATCAAATGAGGGAAAGTAGAGGATAGGATTCTGATCATTCAATTATCCCTATAATCCGTAAACCGCTGGAAAAATATACAATTTACAATCTGGAATCTTCCCACTATACTAGGCAAGTTAATGTCACACCAGCAATACTCATTTTTTGTCATGGATTGGTTCCTCTTCTCCCAAGGACATTGTTGACCCGAGTGGAAGAAAGCCAAAGACAAAAAATGACGATAAAAATAAAGGCCAATGGCAAAAATGTTTTTTCCTTTTCAAGATAAATTTCATCACCTACATTCCACCAACAAAATGTGCATCCAAACAGAGAAATTTAGTCCTCCAAAAAATGGAAGAAATTTAGACACTCCATGCATTTTCCAATTCCATCCCAAACGACCTGAGTGCTTTCAGCCAAAATTTATTCATCCAAATTGTTATATTCAGTTCTTCCATGTAATATAGTATTTCTTATACTCTTTTGAATAGAGGTATCCATGCAGGGCATCTATCAGTTGGAAGTCTACAAAGCACAGATCATCCTTCGTTAATGGCTTCTCCAATGTGGTGGTTCTGTAGGCACTTCTCTGTTGCAAATAATGTAAGTCCAGGACGTGAAACCTTAAGGATCCAAGCCTATCCCAAAGGAAATGGAGAAACACATAACCCAAGGATTTCTCGGTTGGAAGTCCAGGAAGAGAAACACTAAGGAGCAAAGTCTGTCCCAAAAGAAATGGAGCAACAGACTCGCAGGATTTTTGCTGCAGTATATCCTAGTTTCTTTGTAAAGTTGAACAAAAGATAGACCCTCAAGTAGGAAAACAGGCAATACCAGGATGCAATATGTTGCTTACATAAGCAAAATAGATTCCATACCTTGTCAAGAGATTCACGGCAGCAGATCCATATCCATGCTGCAAATATGAAACCAACGTGTTATGAAACTTCTGAAAGTGGAAAAAATGAATCCCAAAAACATGCATGTCTAGGACGGGGAAACTACCTTCATGGCACTTGGATGGGTGGCAATTCTTACAATACGAGCTCCAGAGAGGCTAGGGAATGTGGTATCCCGGAACTGCTCAGAGAATTTCCAAGGGATTTGGTCCCCGTGAGGTTGGTGACCTTCACTTAAGCTTTTCATTGCAGATCTACGAGATATATGGCCCTCAAGGCAGACCTATCAGGTAAGAACATAAGATACTGTGAGAAATAGATTGCTCAGAAGAACAACCACAGTAGTTACACACAAATAGAACTTGCACAGAAACCCCAGACAAGCAACAACAAATTTAAACCCTTTGTACTGTTATTTCGTACAAATAGAACTGTAAATACACACCTTTGTCAACCTAAAGATAGATTGAATATCAGAAGAACAAAGACCTGTGTGACACACTCAAACATAGGAATCTGAATAAATAAGCATAGCTATTCCCCTGGTAAGATGAAACGGGATGTGCATTGAAGGGTCTATCCACATTTTCCTTCCTTTTAAGAAGATCACAAAATCCAAACCAAAAAAGACTAATTCAGGATCGATATCGAATCCTCTCGTATTCAACCAGGACCAATTTGATCCAAATATTGACCCAGTTCGGTGTGGACTGAATATTTGCTCAGCCTAAAATAAATACAAGCAGTAAAACAAATGGAACGAACGATAGTAAACATGAACAACGTAATATGCTTCCTAATTAAGCAAATCATTTACACGGTGAAACTAATAACAATAAAACATCTGGCCTCAGAAATTTTACCTGAATAACGCATAAAATATCAGGAAGCTGATTTTTTGACTCATCAACCGGGCCTGCAGATAATATATCAGTGGACAACTATCCCAAGCTTAAACATGATATGTAAATAGGTTAAAAAACAAGCAGCATACCAAGAAGCACAAATAAATGGTGGGCAGGAGCATCAGCCATCAACTGTAAGTCATTAGGAGAGTTTTTATAATGTGATGAAACATACAACGCCATCATTCTCTGTACACACCAATCCATCCCTTGTATTAGTTAAGAGACCATTAGACAAGGTTACATTAAGATGGTATAAAAAAATGAAGCGAGGGCAATTTCACCTGCAAAAACTCTTCGCTATCTTTGTGATATGAGAAAAGTGTATCACGATTTACGTAATACAGAACACAATCATCAGGAGGAGGTTCCCTGGTTGGAGCAAAAAGATTACAGAAAGCAGTCAACAATCAGTGCATAGAATAAAGGCTGGTTCAATAAAGATGTTAAAGCACCAGGCAATTCTTTCCCCATAGATGTGCTGCATCCGACCTGCTAATTTTAGGTATGGAGTTTGTTACATCCAGGCAAAGTAATTCATTAAGCCAGGATTCTATTGGGTCACCAAGGGCATATCTTATAGACTCATTGAGCTCAATTTTCTTGAAAAGGAGGCCTACCAAAAAAAAAAAAAAAAAAAAAAAAAGACCAAATGATATTATAAATTTGTGAGCTTGCACAAAGTGCCCATCTTCTACAGAACCTCGGCTACATGGTTTGCACAAACTGGCTATTACAGTAAATGTCTAACAGAATGTGGCTCTTCATCAAGTTTATTTAGAAAAGAATTCTCACTCTGCTTCTCTTCAGTGTTAACCGACTAAGGTTTTGATGCAAGTTGATCCAGTTAAAATAAGCTAATTATGAACAATATTGATTAATAATGCAGAAGACAGGTGACTTCTTTTCCAAGAGGAGTGAAATTCCAAAATATTATTATGTTTTGCCTATTAACAACATACGACACTCTGCTTACCAGAAAGAGACCCCTCTGCACTTTTATCATGTGATTGACTTTGTTGTTGTAATTGATTCAGCAGTTTTAGTGACAAAGATCGGCCGGTTCCTTCATACCTTTTGGCAGATATCGGAAATGATAAAGCAGATGTTTGAGCCCGTGATAGATAAAGCAGTTAGGCAAATCAATCTGAAAAATGCAGTTGGACCAGAAAGCTAAAGCATCATATACCCATTCACGGTAGATGAAAGAAAGACAAGATAAGGACCAAGCAAGCACTTCACAACTGGCAATGGGATAGCAGCAGCTTCATCTATGATCAGTAATTCAACTTGGGACAACTTTGCATATTCATGAGGTTGTATGTACTGTAAGGAAACAGAAGACAAAAAAGAATGCTGTCAAATGAACGAATCTGGAGAAATGATTTCAAATAAAACATTCAACAACTTCAGAGAACCTGAATTGTTTGTCTGTGTTGCTTGTAGATATTTATACGGACAATTGACTTCTTGAATTCAGGATTAACACTTTTAACAACATCGTAATCCATATGTTCCTGCGGAAAAAAACCATAATGTACTTTCAATAAAAAGCTAAAGTTATCAATGAATGTTTAGTAAATAAAGAAAGTCTAGCATAATATCAGGAATCGTAGTAACGATTAAAAAGCCGAAAGAATATACAGCTAACTGAGCAAGTTAAGACAGCATGTACCCGCATCTCCACCTAAAGAAATCTTCTTCTAAAAAAAAGTTAAGACAGCATGTAGATTTTCCAAAATAAACCCCTGAAAGAAGCACCTGCTATCTAAAATCTTATAATGAACCTAAAGACAGAGAGCTAGAGATAGGTATTGATATATCAATCCAAGGAAAGAGTATAGCATCACCTTGTAATCGAGGGCATCAAAGCCCTTGCATATGAATTCAAACAGTGTTCTTAAGTTTTCCGGGCTTGGTGCTGTTACGAATATGTTGGAATACCTGAAAGATAAGATTTTAATTACAATTACAGCTTGTGCACAGTGCCCACACACGTTTTATGAACACAGGAAATAGCTGCAATATTTGCATTACCCGGCTGCAACGGCCCCTGCCACTGCCAAACCAAGTGCTGCTGACTTCCCACGTCCACGTGCAGCAAGTAGAGCCACTGTGCTACGTAGGGTCTTCTCCAATATTGAATCAAAAAACGTAATTACAGCTTTTCCCTGTCATGTATGAAGGTTTCATTCAGGTTGGCTATCCATTATTTTATGTTCATAAATTAGCAAATTTGCATTATTAGAGAATCAGATGCTACCTGATCTAATGTACAACACTTCTTAACCAAAGGTCCAACAGGAAATTCATCATGCAGCTCGTCTTTTAAATTCTTCAAGTCTCGCTCTGCTTCTGAAAGGCCTTCGGAGTCCTTTAATCACCAGTCAGAAAATTATTTAGCAAAGGACCGGAACAGAAGGCAGGTTGCAGCAAACAAGACTTAGGCGAAATGTTTGCAATGAAGTTGGAGAAAAACTATCACCTCTTTTGCTGGTGCAGGAGTAATTGCCCTTATATGAGAGGATATTGGCAAAATATTCAGTTCATCATCCATGACTACACATGCCTTGCATGAGGAAATCGACAACAAAAATCGCTCATTGAACCGCGCAGTAGACATAGAATGGGACTCCGTACGGAACCTTTCATGTACATCCTGAAATCAAGAATCCATCTCATTACTTCAAGTAAGAATTCCAAGGATTTAAACTATGCAAAACAGGCTGTGTTTTGCCAAGAAGAATGAAGATTGGAAATTGAAAAACATTCCGATGTTATTCATACACAAGCATATGATAGATTAGCTCTCTAACAGCGTCAAATTCTGCCACCATACTCATTGTTTATACAAAATGACAAATCAAGCTACCATGCCTCTGGAGTCCACTAATTTATTAGTAACAAATGGAGGGGGATAAAATAAAGGACTGGTAAAGGTTAAACTCAAAGCCTAAGGCAGATTCAGATAGTCTTCATTAAATAATAACTTCCCCAATCGTGTCTCTTTTTAACAACATATAAGACATACAATGCAAAAACAATCATACCATAACCATGGTGTAAAGACTGGTCAATGATGAGAGAGAACGCAGAAGCAATACGATAATTCCGCCACCTTCTACTGTTTCTATTGTCCTGGCCAAGAGATTCGGTGTCAATGCCTCAAAGTCCTGAAACAAAGCTGGCAAAATCAGTAGAATCAAAAACATACCACACTATAACCAGGGGGGAACAAATAGGCGAAAAGGGGACAACTTTGATTTCAGCAAACCATATATACTTGAGAAGACAAAAGGGAAAGTGAAGTCGAACCTGTAATATGCACATTCCAAAAGTATTTCCGAGTATTCTCTCAGAGTCCTTGTACAAACAATAAGTTAATCCTCCAGTTTCAACAAAAAGTTGGAACGGATCAACCTTCTCAGGGTCCAACAACCCTCTCTGCATATACTTCTTAATCTGCTTGGCTCTCTTTTTCTTGTGACTACATCATAGAATGGAACCCAGTCACAAATAATTGACATTACAAAATGAAAAGAAAAAAGAAACCATCTTCATCTGAGGCTGGGAAGGTTCAATTCAAATACCTGCTGAGTTCTAGTTTATCCTTGTAGCACCACAAAACCGTTGGCCTGGACTTCACCACTGCCTTGCTCAGCATGTAATGCAGGTTAACAATCTACACGGAAAAACCACAAAGCCACCAACTTTCAGCCCCTCGAGTGCATAAATTAACGACTACCCTTTCACCAACATTTTCGTGAAAGAAAGAGAGGAGAGATTCTGCTTGCCTGTTCCCGCGATTTGTCTCCGATTATGACGAACAGGGAACGGTGCCTCAATTTGACGCCATTGTCGATAAGGTTTCTGATTCGTTCGTCCACCTTCTTCCTCATCTTCTGATACTGTCACTCAATTTTCTCTCTTCCTTCCGCAGAAGTTTACCTTCTTCAACAAGTTCAACCGGTAGGGTTTATGAGCGCCAAAAGCGAAAACAGAAAAACCGCTAGGGTTTATATAGGAGTATTTGTTTGAAAAGCGAAAACGACAGACAGTAGAAAAAGGAGAGCAGATGTGATTGGGCCGAGGGATTACATGACAACTAAAAATTAATGGGCCTTTCGTATGCCCAGTTTGTTAATCACGTCAGACCATCATGGGCTTAGCCCTAGGGCCAATCATAGTCTCCTCGGCGACTTTTGCTTCATACCCTTTGAATTGTATGCGAGCGACTAACTAACTGATGCTGTGGTTATTTTTGTTACTTGGTTGACAAGTAACAAAATTCTTGTTTTACTTGTTTTTGGCCTTTCATGTCTTGTCCCAGAAGGAGAAGGACACTTGGTCGTCCTTAGTTTTTTACCTAAGCATTTGTCTATATATAGCTTAGCTACGATTTTTGTCGTAAGCAAGTTGTCAAGATGTAGTTCTCAAATAATTAAACATCAGCCGTGAGCTCTTCCGAGCTCTCCGTAGATTAGTCTCGTTCAATAAAAAACAAGGGTACCACGTAAAATATCGTGTCTCTTGTGTTCCGTCAATTCCGCGGTCTCAATTTCTTCATGGTATCAGAGAGCAAAACTAGATCCTTGTCTAGGGTTTTGAGCTTTCGCGCATCAACCGTCTTGTCCCAACAACGGCTCGCACCAGCGCCCTCAAGTTCGTTGGCAGATCGTGTGATTCATTTTTTTTGTTTTCACCAATACGTTGTTGTCGCCGTGTCTCTGTCTTGCCGCCGACACCATCCCCGGTCGGGCACCCAGTCAAAGTCATCATCCTTGTGAGGCCATAAGGGAACTGCAGAAGACTTTGACAGCTATGGGTTCCACCCCATAGACACGATGTCTTACTTGGCTAGCGATTACGGGAGTCACCAGCTTTCGAGGTTCACCGTGGAGCGGCTGCCGGAAGATCTGAAAGCCCTGCGGTTCTACATCAGTCACGTGTTCCTCCCTCGCACTGCTGACCAGGCCGCCACTCTGGACGAATCTGACCTCTGGATTCTGTTTAACGCGAAGACAAGCTGCCCGATCAGCTATGCCTCGCTGATGTTTAATCATATGATTAAATATCGAGAAGAAGAGTGCAGCGGCGAGCTGCCTTTTGGCCCGCAAATCACCCATCTGTTGGCACTCTTAGGGGTCGATCTGCGTGGGAAAATCATCAACCGGGAGGTCCATTCTGACCTGCAAGCTCAGCATGTCCTGCGTCGCACCCTCTCGGGGCTTGGACCGCGTAAACTTGCCAAAGTTCAAGGGGGAGACAAAGCTGCCAATTGTGAGTCCAAATCAGAACCAGAAGAAGACGATAATGATGAGGGAAGCTGGTTAAAGGACACGGCAGCAGCATACACAGCTAGTGGAATCTCCAGGCTTGACAAGGGAAAGGGAATTGCAGAATCTACGGGAAAGCGCAAGAGGACTTTGACCTTGGAGCATATACAGGAAGGGGTAAGGCTGGAAAATGAAGGAAAAAGCATCCTCCGTGACTTTACCTTGTCACTAAAGGGAAAAGAGGCCAGCTCCTCAGGCAAGAAAGTCAGCAGGGTTTTATTCCTACCTTCGGAGGATGAGGAAGTCGATCCATCTGAGTATGCTTCGTCTCCGGAGTACACCTACTAGGATTGTTTTAGATACTTGGTTTAGGGGGAGATCCATGGATGAATTAATGGTAGTTGAATGGTTTGGGTCGGTCATTTAGAGTAGAAGTCTGATGTTTGCCTTTGAGTCATAGTCTGTTATGTCATTTGAGTCTTGTTTGGTTGATTTGAGATTAAGTCTTGCTGAGTATTAGTGTTGAATGTGCTTTGATGATTCTGTTTATGAATAAAATGGACTCCCAGTTGTTTTTTTATCACGTATTAGTCATTAGTAGTTGGACAGGCTACACCAACGGTTTGTTTAAGTGTGCAGAACCTTGAAGCAGCTTAATATGAACCTTGGACAAGTTTAGGGGGAGAAGCTTGGCCATTAACAAGCTGAGGGGGAGAATGTTAACTGCAGGAGCAGCTTGAAGGCCAAGGCAAAGATTCAAATCACAGCTGGAAAAGAGGTGGCTGCCCAAAAACAGTTAAGGCAAGTTCTCGGGCCAAAGGAAGAAAGAATAAGAACTTACCATACATGAAGAACTCAAGGAAATTTGAATTCCCAACAGCTACATTGCACCCTATAAAAGGTGATTTGAAGGAAGAGCAAAACAACCTTTTCAAGTGATCAACAAAGCTAGCTAGGACAAAAGGGGATTTTGTGAGAGTAGCAAGGTTGATAGAAAAGGGGGTTTCTCAAAGGGTTCGGGGAGAATTGCTTTGAGGGTTAGTGTTGGGGAAACACTGGTTTCGAGTTGCTGGGGAAGCAATTCGGGTTTGAGAAAAGAGTGCTAGATCAATCGGGTAGATATTGATCAAAGGGCTCTTGGGTAGATAGCTTGTAACGAAGAACTTCAACGCAAAATCATAGTGAATCGTCGGAGATCACACAATCGTGATTCTCTGACCGTGGAGTAGTCAGTATTGGGATCCTCATTCTCCCAATACTGGAAACCACGTAAAAATCGTGTGTTGGGTGTGTTTTTTGCTCTTTGATTTCCTGCCTGAGTGTGCCACTGCTTGTGTTCGGTTACTGATTTGTTTCTGCAGGAAAACTTGCTCTAAGAGCATCCAGGGAAGTCGACGGGTTTGAACAGGATTGGAGAACTCACCGAAGCTGAGTTTGACTTTATTGATTTCTTAGATGCCTGGGTTTATTTTGCTGTGTGTTTGATGTTCTTGCTCTGTTCTTCAGTAAATAAGAAGCGGGTCTCTATTTGATCGAAGTTACTTAAGTGGGAAAGGCAGATTTGGTTTGAACCAAAACTCTGTCGTTTTTGTGGGGTCTTTGCTTAGAGGAGTGGCCGGATATAGGAACGGTCTGGGCTGGGATTTCGGGCCACTATATTATTTCTACTTAATTCAATCTATTGAACTTAGAAGCCCATTTCGATTAAGACTAAAACTTAACAGGTGGGCTTTTTAAGAACTAATCTGGTGGCTTAGCTTAGTAGCAGTTCTGGGTCGCTAGGTTTAGTGCTAGAATCAATTTCAAAGTTGAAAGAAACTGATAGTAATTAGTTGGTCTAGAACTCACGATTCTTCCTTTACTTTAACTAACGTTTGAACAAAGTTTGTGGCCTATCAAGTGGAGTACAGGTATAAAGTCTCGCGCTCGACGCAACCAACACAACCTCGTTCATGATGTCATTCATCTTGTGTTTTATAGTACAAGCTTGTCATGCTTGTTCTTCACATTTTCTTTTCGAGCTCGACATTCTTGTCATTCATGTCTTCGCTTGAGGGGGAGTGTTGTGGTTACTTTTGAAGGTCATCTTGTCTTCTCTGAAGTTGAATTTACTCAGTAGTCACGGAAGGTCAGACACCATCTCTCCGTCGTCCAATTAATCAATGCTAGAAGGTCTCGTCCACTAAGGCTGAACCTAGTTGTCGAAGTTCGTGTTGTTGTATTGCTCAAGGATCTCTTGACTTCGCGTCTCGGAAATTGATGTGTTTGCTTTGGGATGAACGCAACTCCTTTCCCAATAAAGGCCCATCATCGATTGAAGCTTCCTTTCCGAGGCCACCTTGCTAGTGGGTCACTATCCCGGTCTGCAATGAGCTCGTCGGCCTCACTAGTTTGTCGAAAAATCCTTGTCATTGTTGCTGCCGTTGGTCGTCTTCATCAAGCACTCACGAGCAGCCCTTTCATCCCGCCGTCCAAATCTCCCTAAGCTACATCACTATAATGGACCAGGTCGGCCATCGTCTATGAGATTTATGCTTGAGATAGTCACTAGCTCTTGCATCATGATCGTGGGGGTTCGTTGAGTTTTGAGGTCTCAGAGGGGTATTGGAATGGATTGTCAATCACTACAAATATGGGGTTGAAGTCACCATCAGTTCAATGAGAGTGTCCCAAAGTTTTGCCGGCCAGTCAAGTGATGATGTTCTCAATGGTTTCTCATCACCAACACTCATGTTCACTTGAAGGTAGACCATCGTGAAGTCTTTTCGGTATTGCAGCTGGGTCTTCTTCAAGGTTACATCAAGATTCAGCCTCCTTCTGTCCTCATCAAAATCAAGGTCACTTTTAGCTGTCGCTTAGTCAGTTTGGACATCATCATCATTTCATTATGTCAAGGGGTTTTGTGTAGCGTGCTACTATATTTTGCTTCCTACAAGTTTTTGGTTTCCAAGCTTCCACCCTCACCTCAATGCCCCGGTTGTTACTCCCAGTCATCATTAACACCAGGTTTTGTTGAAGGTAGCAGGTGGATGTTCACTTCGCGTCGTCTGTTGGTCTCAAGCTCTATGTCAAGGAGTCTCGTTTTCATTCAAGCCATGTCATTCTCATCAAAGTCACAAAGCCGCCAATGATTGGAAGTCAAGCTATGTTTATTGCAAGAGAAATGGATTTTCTTTTCCTAGGGTTGGTCATGAACGTATGATTCTTCTCAAGGTGCAAGATAGTCACGATCAAAGAAGCGATAGGTCCCTCCGTGTTTAGAATTGGTCAGCTTTGCGTCTTTGGTATTCTAACTTTCAAGCTGGGCATTCACTTCGTTCATGCTCCAGGTTGAGGGGGGAATAGGGAGTCAACATACGTCGGTCGACTAGCTCAGCTATCAAGTCGACCGTGATGTATCAAGTGAGTTCAAGAGACGCAGTCAAATGTGTTTATAAGAAAGTTCAAGAAACGCAGTCAACCGACTCCGTCAAGAAGTTCAAGAAGATGCAGTCAACCGTCTTTATCAAGTTATTCAGAGAGAGAGTCAGTCGTCTCTAGATCAACCTCGTCCAAGATGTCATTCATCTTGTGTTTTGTGGTACAAGCTTGTCATGTTTGTTCTTCACATTTTCTTTTCAAACTAGACATTCTTGTCATTCATGTCTTCGCTTGAGGGGGAGTGTTGTGGTTACTGGTTACTTTTGGTACTTGGTTGATAAGTAACAGAGTCCTTGTTCTACTTGTCATTGGCCTTTCGTGTCTTGTCCCAGAAGGAGAAGGACACTAGGTCGTCCTTAGGTTTTTACCTAAGCCTTTGTCTGTATATAGCTTAGCTACGATTCTTGTCGTAAGCAAGCTGTCAAGATGTAGTTCCCAAATAATAAAACGTCAGTCGTGAGCTCTTCCGATCTCACCATGGATTAGTCTCATTCCATCAATAATGAGGATACCACGTAAAATATTGTGTCTCTTGTGTTTCGTCAATTCCGCGTTCTCAAATTCTTCAACTGACGATTAGGAAACATAAAGAGTTGCGGTATGGAGCGATTGCTTTGAATTCTCTTACAAACGTGGCATAGCAACAGTGAACCCATTAACCAGTCTAATAGGACTGCTCTTACAGATGTTTGCAATTTCATATCTTCTTAGGGAATGTGGGTTGACACCTATTGCTTCCAAGTAGTTTGATACCTTGATCTGCAACACAAGAACATACTTGGTTGTGTTTCGCATCCAAGGCTTTGGAACAATGTCTTCACTTTAGGACTAAAGTTGTTTCTATTACAAAGCATACCACTTCCATCGCAACTTTATCTAGAGTGATGTCCAACACTGTCTCTTTTTCCTCCACCGCAATGATAAGTGGCTCAAAACGAAAAAGTGAACCGTGAATAATGAGGCTAACAGAAATTGCTCATTTTTTTAATACTTATTTCTTTTCATGTTTCTCTATCATCCATAGTTTCTAATGTTTTCTCTTTCTCATCTTAATCCCCTACTATCTTTAATGAAATTTATTTTTTAATTTAACTTCAATTTAGGTTCTATTTGTTATATTTATATTATTTCAAAATCTTAGTGAGGAAAACCTATATATAATGTATGAAATCCTAAAAGAAAAAGGATATGAAATACCTTGAAAGAAAACATGTAGAATGAAAAAAAAAATCAGAATAAGTAATCTATTCAATCATGCCTCGAAGTCAGTTTCTAGAGCCTCATCATAGTGAAGAAGTGCACTAAATTAGTAAGCAATAGTCAGACAATGGTGTAGTGCACGCACTCCTCCATTTGTATGACATCTCTCTTCCTTGCGACATTATAATACTTGACAAAACCTATATATCTAACCACTTGGAATCCCTTCCTTTGATTTTCTACGATCTAAGATTGGTATTGTTGCTACTCCTCCATCTTGCGGGAGCATAATAATACAATTTATCCAACTACTAATTCGGAAAAGTCATCCAATTATTAATTAGGCAATAAACTAAAAGGCAATTAATTCTCATCCATGTACGCTACTTCGTCTATAAATTCATGTATTCTATCTTGCACAAATAAGTTTTCCATTTATCAATGAAAAAAACAACGAAAATCATTTTTCAAATTTCATAATCTTCAACACATCTATCCTTCAATAGAATATGGTATAAATTATCTACTTTTCTATTTAATAGATCTTTAAATTGGAGAAAATATAGCAGCCAAGAGTGAAAAATATTTTTTTTTTGTTAAGTGGTTTTTTTATTTAATAATTTTTTTTGTCATTTTTCTCCATCATCCAATGGTGGATTAGCTGCTTTTTTGCATAGATTTTTTTTATAATTAATCTTTTGGATAACATGTTACATCCCATAGCATGGTTAATGCATGAAGCTTCATATAAGTATTTGGATTACATTAATGTTGTCAAAATTATTATATTTTCATAAGATGATGGAGAAAAATATTATTTTATTGGATTTGGATTTAATTTTTTTGTGTTCTTTAGAATTCAATATACTTTCCTTTCATAATTCAAGTTCTTATAACTTAATTTGTAAAGAACATTTCCAAGCTCAATGATGAAGAATTCAATATAAGGCCCTATAGGACAAATACATCTGAAGCCCAACTACTTGCTAGAGACTACCAAAACAAATGGTAAGCCTACAATGATGATGTCGAACAGATTGCTCTTTGAAACATAGGATTCTCAATGTGCCTATTGAAAGCTACTGCAGCCTATTAGAAAACATGTCCCGCACCTTGATAAACTATTCTATCGCAGCCCGTTCCTAGTAGTTAGAACCTGCAATTATCCTTTGACAATCCTATTAATGTTATTTGTCTAACCTCAAACCATTAATGAATAAAACCCTCA